AAAAATATAGTTGTTTTTACTCAAAAATTGATAAATTAAGATATTATCGTGTTGTTGCTGGTACATCTGAGGTACAACAGCAATATTATTATATTACTACGCCGTTATGTAATTATGCGTCTTCGCATCTTATGCAAAGGCAAAAACTCATGTTTTCGAGAGCCTGTGCTTGTGTATGTTCGGAAGCATGTGAGCTTTTTCACCCGTTTTCAACTCATTATCAAGGAAAAGTTGTAGACTGAATTTTGGGAGCCTATTCCCATCCTATGTGTCACCCTCTCGTTTTAAAATCAACGTCCATATGCGTCTAAGTATCATGCACGGACGCCTAGGTGTCGCGTTCATCTTTATGAATTTTTTGGCGGGAAAGCGATTTTGGGAACTAGCAAACACCGGGTGCTGGGATTTCGCGGGAATATTCTCCGTCCATGTGTGGGCTAAAGATTCAATTCAGCCATGTGCTCGCTTGCGTCAGGCGTAGGTCAGGTTAAAATTTTTTCCGCAAATTTGCTCCGCGCAAAATCAAGATTAGCCTGGAAACATTAGCTGTAGCTTTACCGTAGGGACTTGCATATGTAAGTGGAGTTTCGAATTGCGTTTGCGTCAATTTTATTACAGCTCCAAAAGCGAATGCATTTTGTGGATTTCGTCATCCTTTACTCTCGATATTCGCTGTCCAATTAGCAAGTGACGTTCAGTCGCCGACATAATTTACGGTAATCATGCATGCTGGAGATTGAAATTTAGTGCGGTCCCGTGATGCAACACCGCCGTCCCAGTCGACGCCCTTTTCCCTTGCGAGTAAGAATAGGCCAATACGCAGCCAGCATAAGTCCATATGTTAAACTGTGAAGCAGCAGCCATTCATCCTGCTAATGATCGGACTGTTTCAAGTTTAGCGCAAAAACGCATGATCGCACCGGGCAAGCCTGATGCATCGCTGTCTGGGTTATTAATTGTATGTTTATTCTATCGTCCTCGGACTTTTGTAACAGGGTTGCTATTTGCTTTAAGAGGAAAACATTTATTCCGCTTCCTTTCGGGCTTTCGCTTTAAAAAAAGTTACTGGCTGTGCCTTTGCTGCAAATAAGAGCTTCTTCCCATTGGGCAGCAAAAACAATGGTTTGCAGTGGGCTAAGTTTGTTCGGGCTCATTGTTGCGTCAGAGTTGTTGAATAGCTTGTACAGTGTTGGTACTGTCGAAAGCTTTTGCAGTATCTGCTAGAAGGCACATCCTTGCGTGAAGGAAGAGGAATTTGATGAGCTTGCATTGTGGTGCATTTGCCATTTCGAAGATTAATATTTGCATGAATATGTGGCG